AATAATTTAAATAATGACATAAAATTATTTTTTATTGTGCAACATAATAGTAAAAAAAAACCTACTCTCCAATCAATTAAATTGTTGACTCACTGCCTTTAAATTTATTGATTCATTCATTATATCTACTCATGGCTACAATAATGCAATTTACACATCTCATATAGAAAGGGCCAAAGGGTGGAGGATACCATGTACAATGGAAAATTTCCAAAGCTAAGTAAAACATATAATAATCCCACTTCCCCTCCCCTCTTAGAGAAAAGGTTCAAAAGGTCTGAAATTTTTAAGGACCAGCTACCATAATCTATACCATGCCTTACAAAAATTAAGCCATGGAAATAGTACACTAAAAACAAACTAAAATGTTTATTTGAAAAAACAAAATGAATATCCAGGCCTGCAAAACAGATATATGTCTGCCAATCAATAGTACTCGAAATGGCAACCATCATAGCCTGTAAATCAAAACATATATGTTAGTAAAACAAAAATTAACGGTTAATGATTTATACAAGACTTACATATTCTCAAGTAAATTTTGATTTTAATACATGGTAATTGGTAATAAATATTATTTAAAGTTAAAATGAGATTAGAGGGTTTACTTGGATCAACTGTGACAAGTATAGCAGTGCCTCCAAACCCGCATGTACCTCCAGCAACCTTGCTCTTTTGCCAATAACTATTGAAGGCATAGGAGGCGTGTGCAACAATTGTATCAGGCTCAAAACATTTCCCATCAGGTTGGATCGAATCACAATCCGCTCCTGACCCACAAGCATAGTTCATTGCTTCTTGAATGATTGGTTCCGGCACTGATGGCTTGGCCACGCACCAAAGGGCGGTGCTCGGCCCCATACTTAAAGGCGATGGTGGCACGGTTGGTGGAGGGTACACAATTGGTGGTAGGAACATTGGACTTGGGACGTTGCCGGAGGGTGATGGAATGTTAGATGGTGGGCTTGGAAAGATGACTCCTGGTGGACTAGGCTCGTATGAAGGTGGGCTTGGGATGTAAGTTGTTGGGCTCGGTACTGTTTCTGGTGGTCTTGGTACCATTCCACCAGTTGGGCTTGGTGGGCTTTGACCAGGGAAAATAGGTGGGATGTAGTAGAATGGTGGAGGAGGTGCTGTGGTGGTTCCGGCTGGAGTTGGGATGGTTATGGAAGGTGTTTGAGGGGAGAAAGGGGGATAAACACAATAAGGTGGAGAATTTTCTGGTAATGGAATTGGTGCTAATGAGTCGAAAGGCGGCAGAGAAAATGGAGAGCCCACAACATAAGGTTGAGTGTTGGGTGATGAATCCGTGGCTTGATCAATGACTAAGCTCATAATCTTGCTCATCAGTTCCAATTTCTTTGTGTGCTTTATGGCTGAACTTGAACTTCTTGTTTTTGGGCCTTTGGCTTGTAATCTTACTGATTTACTTGCATCTGCTAAAAAGAAGATTGAGAAGACTTGTTAACCAAGTAATTCATTTTGTATATTCCATGTACCCTTTTGATTTGTCAAGAAACTTGACAAATAAAAAAGACCATAAATATGAGTGGTTCATTGCTAATGTTTGATTTCAAAATCAAGGTTAAGAATTTAAATTTTTGCTACAATATACTCCCTTATGAGAGCTTTATATATCTAATTGAAACAACGTGTAGAAAAATATAAGCTTACCGCAATGGGAGAACATGGAAGTTGCCATACAAAAAATCAAAATCAAAATGCAGCATCTGTTAGTTTCCATGACTCCTAAATTTCAAAGATACCAAGAAACTCCAACCTAAGGTATCATGCATTCAAATTTAAAACACAAGAGGCAAGCAAGAAAAGACTCAAACACCAAATACTGCATATGATTAAGGGGCTTATATAGAGAAAGAAGTCAAGGGATGGAACTAGAACACTCCAACTACAAGGCAAGGAGAACAAGTGGGTAGGGAGACATAAAGATGGATTCCCAGATTTTGTTGAGTACTCTAGCAGCTCACTTTTGCTAGGACACAGTCACTTTCCTTGGATATGTGAATGTGAAGAATTGGCAAAAGGTGGTGTGGAATGTTATATTTTATAGGTTATCATCTTTTGATCCATTGGTGTTACTTTTTGGGGGTTTAAACATGGCATATATGCTTGCTTGACATTGAAATAAATGAAAGCATAGATTTTGTTGCCCTTTTCTTTTGCTTGCTTTCTACTCAAAGCTCTTTCTCATAACATCTTTGTCCCTCTGAACTCAAAGTAGATCATAACCCCTGTACCAAGATTGCATCCTCAAAAGTGCATGTAAGAAAATCTAATTTTATTAAGGCTACACCTACACAGCATTCATTCACTTTGGTACAATAGAATAAACTAACCTCTTTGTCCTTGTGAACTAAAAATAGATCATAATCCCTGTACCAAGGGTCCAAGATTGC